TAAGCGAAGCGATTAAATCGTTTAAAAAAGGCAGTGTTTTTTTAGAAGAAAAGTGTTTGTATTTTTGCACGTCCCCCCACAATAATAGTTACAATAATAATAATGATGAAAATAATGATGATAATAATAATAATGATAACAAATGAAAAAATAATCAAAGATAATAATAATGCTATTTCCGAATTGTATGTAATCGTACATTTACAATAGTGTTGTGAGTCTATCTATTTTCTTATATATTAGGGTGATCACATTGCCTGTGCACACAGTCTGCCCCGCGAACATACACAGACAACAGCAGTCAGTTGGTAGAAATAGCAATTTTTGTAAATTTATTATAAACAAACTAAACAATATTTTTGTATTTGTATTTCATATATATTTCAAGCATACCTTTAACTACAATTCTGTATAGTTTCATTTGTATAGACATGTTGGAAATATGTTAAATTATTTATTTAGAATATTGTCTTTTCAGCCATGTGTGACATGGCCCGCTGATCGCTCATTGGGCCGTATGCATAAAAAGTAGCAATTGCTTGTGCTAGCCTTTTACTTGAATCCGTATGCATAAACATAAGCAATTGCTTGTTGCAAGCAAATGCTTTTGCTAGCAAGCACAAGCAATTGCTTAAAGATCAAGCAATTGCTTAAAAACGTATGCATAAAACGAACCTTTTGCTTGTTCTTATAAGCAATTGCTTACGTTTTTTCAAGCTCCGTCATAGCAGCTTGAGCTCTTGCTTAATCGGGACGTTCGCGGTTAAGCATCATGTTTATGCTCGTTAGAGAAAAACCAAAGTTGTACAGGAGTAGAATAAATCGAGAAGAAATTGCTCCCGAGACCTATCGGATACTATTCCGTTTCGACAAAGAGAACGTTGAGTGGTTAGCACACAGGTTCATACCTGAACATGATGAAAAACGGGGAGGATGTCTGACAACGGTGGAGAGCATGGAGGCCACGCTCCACTACTTGGCGAAACCCGCCTTTGTTCTCCCATGAATGATGTTCGCACCGGCGTGACGTCGCTATTGTTGAGATCGTAAGCAATTGCTTGCTGGAGGCAAGCAAAAGGTTTGAGCACAAGCAAAATGTTATGCATACGGATTTAAGCAATTGCTTGAGCTTGATCTTTTGCTTGACAAGCAATTGCTTGCAAGCAATTGCTACTTTTTATGCATACGGCCCATTGAATCGCGCTGCTATTCTGCGTGGTGAAAATGCACCTCAATGTATAAAACTCCCCTACAAAAAATTCAATATCCTCATGTGTTTCACTCATTGAATCAATTTGTTGTTTACACTTAGGGTAGCCATATCTATACTAAGGTCACTAAATTAGTTTTTACTCTAAAATTCAGTCCCTGTGGAATGTTATGTCCTGTTGAATGGTTTCTCGGAAAATCATCATAAATCCTCAAATCTGACATTTTTTAAAAAGAAACATATACTGTGATGTAGCTAAAAATCTGCAAATTTTTATCAATTGATAGGTTTTTCTGAATAATTTGTGAAACACATGAGGAAATAGCTATGACCGTGATCCAAGTAATATCCATCGCCATATTTTATTGGCATTGCAAAAATATTTGGAATTCAATGTTAATATTTGGTGTAAATACGATCTATAAATATATGATTTTAACAAATGCCAACAAAATGGACAGTCTGACTTTCCTTTATATATACTTAGCTGAAATGACCTAATTTGCATATTTGATGAATATTCATGATTTTCTTTTTTAATTTCAAATAAAATTTATTTCCATACCTGTCTGATATACATAAGTTTCACTGATGTATCATGTTCGGTTTTGATCTGATTACATATGTGCATATTAATTTGGCGGACTTAGTTATTTTCACAACTTGTTCATATCTGCAGATTCGCCAAAATGGCAAAAATGACTTATTTTGTTGGCTTCTGTTTTCAAAACGGTAATAGATATATGAATTTTCTTTGTTGTGTTTCTTACCACAAAGATGATATTTTAGTGTCTGATAATTTCATTTATTATTTGTGTCCAAGAAAGGGATGAATTTAGATGTCAACTTTGTCGAATTTTGCCATTTTTGCCAATTTGACCATTTCTGGCGTGTTTTTCGGTAATTTTGCGATTTGAAAAAAGTGGTATAAAATCTCAACGCATTGACCGATTTCAATTCTGTTTTTTGTTTTTTGAAGCTTTCATAAATTTTGATCATTTGCAATCATCAAATAACATATGTTTGTTGTACTTTTTTTTGGTGTGCTATACCTAATATTATTCAACTATATAAAAACAATTTATATCGGTGTTTCCATATGAATATGTCAATGTAACTTTGCTACTGTGGATTATGTATTTGTGCATATTATTTTCTATTGTATATTGTTCACGTGCTTTATGTTATGCCAATAACTGAATTTCAAAATGGACCAATAAAAAGAATCTGAATCTAAATGACCCTGGACGTACCCTGACATTCTGAGGTGTGCGTCACGTACAATGAAAGCTATATACATGTACTTTAATTATTCTTAGGTAGGTCGTTAAACTGAGGACAAGAGGATACTGTGAGCCTAATATGGAACATTTGCTCTAGGTATTGTCTATTTAGGCATCGGCTTGTAACTTCATTATAAAATAAATCTTTTTAAAATCTTAGCTCATTATTCTCTTATTCGTTAAAACAAATACAAAAGAAAAAGTTTTAGGAACTTTATTCTTAAAGCGGTGGAAGGCTGGGATTTTGTGTCTGTAATTTGTTTTAATAATTAAATAAAGAGGTGTTTTTTAGTCAACGACGGGGGGGGGGGGGGGGTGGATCAAACAAAATGACACCTCTAATAGCCTATTTAGACTATAGGAAATGTATACAAATATCATGAGAAGAACCATTGTAAAGTGAAAGAAGCGTACATACTACTGGTAGCCTTAACAAAACGTTACTTTAGGGCGGGGGTGTTTGCATACTAGGGCTCTTTAGCATCGCGACGTAAGGCAAAGAGGACGGGAGAATTCACTCAACCGAGATCAAATAATGTACGCAGTTGGCACTCTGTCTATTGAAATACTGTTATTCTTATCAGGTGAATGAAATAATTTCTATTGAGGTACTTCACAAAGACTTATGCATTAAATGTGGTTACATTACGAAAATGGTCTATTGTACGGCGATACAACTCTTCCGTCGAGTTTAGGGAACGAACGCTATTATGGCTGAGAACGGTCGTGAAAATCAACAAGACGGAGAAAATTCTGGTTCGCACATGGGCAGATTGATTATTTTCCTCTGTTCCCCTCGTCTTTGCCTTCCGTCGTGTTTGCAAAAGCACTCTATATACAGGTTACAAATGAAGACTGGAGCATAGTACAGGACGATCTAGGTTGAGTGATTTCTCCCGTCGTCGTTGCCTTCTGTCGCGTTGCTAAAGCGCCCTACTGTTACCCTGAACACGATGTGCGATAATTGATCAGATAATACTTCACAAATATAATATCAGTCCGTTTTTTAGTTTTTAATTTCGTTCTCTCAACATAAAAAGTACATATCATAATCATAGCAAAACTGTAAGTTAACAAAATATCATAAGGTATTAATATGAACACAATCATCAAAACAGCAAAACCAGGGATGATATAACATATCTTTATAATTAGTTGTCAGTTAAAAACAAGCAATGCCTGCGATATCATACATACGATATCATAAATCATTTGTAAACCCATTGTATTATGGCAAAATTAAATAGAAGTCACATAATTGATGGTCGACATGACATAATTTTTTGAATGAGGAAAATTGATTGATTTACATTCAAATTATACTGGTTGTTATTAAAACCAACTGTTTTGTCTAGAAGAGTTTAATCTAGCGGGTTATACTCAGTATCACAAACAAGTCTAAGGTTTCCGAAATTAATAGGCGTACACAAATAAAATAAGATGAAGAAAAACATTATCAAAGAAAACAATTGCAGCATTAATTATTTTTGGTAATTTATGTCATTTCTATTTGGCCCTCTGTTCACCTAACATAAGGTACTAAATGAATTTGAGATATTACAAATTGAATATAGATCATATTCACATATGAATGAATTCATTATATATCCTTGTTTAGTTACAAATACACATTTACTTCACCACTTCATGTTGGTCATTACACGCTTTGACAATACCCAAATTTAGAGATTCTTAACATAATGTTCTGCTTGAAGCTGATAAAATAAAGTAACAAAGGTATTATAAAATACTATTTTGGGGGCAGATATCATTTCCATACCAACATTTCTGATAGGGTACTGCATTGCATCAGTATAGTATAAGTATTCTGTATTTTAAGATGATTTAACAGAATATAAGAGAAAAATGATTCAAAAAGTTAATTAAAGTACAATGAACACAATAACCACAACACGATGAAGTCATCCGACATAACAAATATGATAAACTCGCAAGTTAGTGAAAAAATAAATGCAAACACGGTGATGTTAATTGATAAGATACTCATACAAAATCTATTCAAGTTTTGACTACTTTGTGTATACTTAATATATACAAAATTGTGACCTGAAGGAGTAGGTCCACCTCTATTCGCTATAGGACGTGAACACATTTCTGCATCTATTTACCCTGTATTAAGTGCTTTTGAAATGTTCTAATGTGGAATTATACTATGAATGTATATGAGGTTGCATTTATTATACCATTTTCATTCAGGTATTAAAAGGTACGTGTATTAGCAAATTTAAAAAAGGCATATTTTTGAAAAACACTGTAGCTGTTTTATTTTCATTCATCTGACTGTCTTCAATTCAAAGTTGTTTTTTTTTGCGATTTTTTCTAACTTATTGTCTTTGCAGAATGATATATATATTCATCATTGTATTATCAATGATTGTATAACACAATCGCAACTACATACAAACAAATTTAACCAAAGGAAAGTTAAATTTATCATTTTTCATTGAAAAATATTTGTGTTCGTATGCATCTTATTTAATGTACTTACAAATTTATAATTATATAAAATTAAAAAATAATTGTTACTTTATGTATATGATTATGTTCTCTTTTGAAACAAAAAAACAAATAACATTGTGCATCACGTATCATATTGTGCGAGGAAGACAGCGAACCCGAATTTGATTTCTAAGTAATATACTACAGGGTCTTCAAATTGCCCTTCATTTGATTTTCCGAAAATATTTGCGACTGTGTTTCATCTAATTTCTCTAAAGTCTAACATAAAATGACACACCAAGCGATTACATTTTTTAATTGTTATTTACCGCGCAATCAACATTTTGAACGGATTGTTATACCCGTCTGAGTGATCTTTGCAAAGTATCGTGAAGCGATTATATATTTGGCAATAGACTGTCTTAGTTTCAGCATCAAACACATTATCGGGTGAGTCCAACCCTTAGGCTGATATTAAGTTGGTTTAAATTGAAGCGGATAAATAAAAGAAACAGATCAGTGAAACATTGAGCAAAATCCGATTAAAATAAGAAAGTTATACATTTTCGAAAGTGTAATTAATATATTAAAAAATTGTAACTCTGTGACCTATCTTGCGAGATCCCCTCCCGTTTGGCTCTGTTCATTGAGAAAATGTTCAATCATACATTCACCCAAAATATTTTTATAATTACATACGTTTTTATACATCCTCTATCTGTTTTAAACAATTCTATCCCGTCACCATTAAGTAAGAAAATGAACGTTTCTGATATTCTCTGTACAGTGGAAATTGGAGAGGACCTCGCAAGACATGTCACGGTGTTGCCAATTTGTGTTTCACTGATGAAATGTTTAAAAAAAATTACAACTGCCTTATTTTAAATAGGATATTGCTCAAACAATCACTGACCTCTTCCTCTCATGTTCTGCTTCTATCGGAACCAACTTAAATCAAGATGGACTCCCCTTTAATAACTACTACACACTATGTAGCTTCAATAAAATATCAGAACAATAATAAGCGATACGTATTTGACAACAAGATATACACGACACATATAGCGATACTCAGAGACATTGTTGTAGTCTACAGCTCTAAAGTTTTGTATTCACATCATCCACTGATTCTAAAGTCTTGTATCCTCATCATCCATGGCGTGTGTTCCCTTGTCATTTGTTGGACTGGTGGCAACATCCTCATAACTTGGTGGCAGATTGTCAACAGACTGAGATATTACGAAAAATGAAAAAAACAAAACATGTTTAGGGTTTTTATTCAGAATTGACTCGAACTGTGACATGTTAACTCTTATCCAATTGAACCCAAAATGAATTGAACTGTAGGCCTATACCATCTCAATTATTATTTCAATGTGTTGTTTATTGTTCATTTGTTTTGCCTCTTTGTTCCCATGTTTGTACATATCGACTGGTACCTGTCTTTATTTATTTATTTATTTATTATTTATTTATTTTTTATTTATTATTATTATTATTATTATTATTATTATTATTTTTTTTTTTTTTTTTTTTTTTGGGGGGGGGGGGGTTATTATTTTGTTGAACCCTTCGGAAACCAACTTTTGCCCAAAGGGCACATCCATTCCATGTGTTTTACATTAATTAATGAATAACATAAACCCTTCATTTTCCAGATAGGTGTTGTCGGAAAGGTTTGCCCACCGCTCGCCAGAGTAGTCTACAATGCAGTATAAATACGCACACGAATCAACTACAACAATCGGTGCTCATTTCGATCCTCACTTATGAAGAGCTGGATAACAAACCATTTGTTACTATAGGAAGTAGGATTTCCGGAATCTTTTATAAATATTAGAGATATATCGCCTCTGTTGCTTTTTCTAGTATACATTATATCAATATCATAATGCCATTCATAATACTACTTTTGTTTTCCCATCCATAGAAATTTGTCCCTATTTAACGTGATTGATAGCTGTAATCATTACTATGATATTAAAATGGTAACACCAAATAACATTAAACATGATGGTCTAACCTTATGCGGTTGATGTTCTGAGTTGGTGTTTGTTTCGTCTTCTTCCACAGCAAAACCAGACTAGGGAGAAAACGAGATAATTATATATTGGTAATTAAAACCCAAGAACATACGTTCCCAGATGAAACAAGCAGAGGATTGATAAATAAACGCTTAATACTACGACTCCTAGCGCTTAATTTACATTGTAAGTACTATTACTCTGGTAATTGGATTCCATTGCTAATACACATAAGGTGCATAAGCCCCACTCCCTGGGGAGTATTCCGGCACCATTTGACAAGCGCACACAATGCCGCTTGTCTAACCACATGTTAATCTTCGCAACCTACCGGGTATCCATTTAACAGCTGGGTCGAGAGTGGCAAATGTATGTTAATGTCTTGCCAAAAGGCTCGAACTGCAAATCATGCGATTCACAGTGGTGACATCCACTGGACCACGACACGTGTTTGTCTCTGTTATTCTCTTATTACGAAGACCAGCCACTGGGTTATTCAAATACACACACATATATATCGTTTCAAACTGTAAAAAAATCTAAAGAAGTAAATGAAAATTAGAGATCAGTGTAGTTCTTACTACTTATTTTTTTTATCGCCGTTGCCATCGCTACTAACGATACTTTTGTGCGTTTTTTCGTTTCTTTTTAATTTTGTTAGCTCTCTTGTCCAGTAGGATTAATAAAATAGTGTATAGATCTATATACCTGTCGTTATTTTTAATGCTACATATGCTCACCTCAATCCCATTTTCGTGACCTTTGACCTCGCATGCTTCACCCTTCACAAGGTCCGTCTGAAGAAAAAAAAGGATTAAACGAATCAATAAAAGTGGCATTAGCAATCATCTCCAGCAAATGAAAGAGTTCAAGAACGTGTGTTTTCAGTCACCAATATACCTATATACTAATTGTTCACGTAAACTTTTTGAACAAATTTTTCTCTTGCTAACTAAAAAGCTTGCCAGAGATTTTATTATCCATAACACGTAAATGTAATTACTGGTAACCAGGGATTAAGGAAAGAAACATGTATACATTGAAATACAAGACCAGTTTATTAAAACAGGTGTATTAAAATACAGTTCTAAAACTACAAATGTATATTAAAATGTCCCTGATTTTCCATAGTACTCACTTCGTCCGGTGTGTAATGCTCCCCTACCCTACATCTGAGTGTAGTCTTCCACGAGGCAGGCAAGCAACAGAAGAACCAATCAGCGATAGGATTAATCAGAGCAGGATTCAGCGTTCGAGGATCCGTCGCTCCTGAAGAAGAAAACAAAAATGTCAAAACAGAACGAAATATCAGAAATCCATTTTTCAACTGCATACAGTCATATAACTTATATAACGGCCTTTATACTGTGGTTTCAGCGGTTACAGTAAACATTAGAAAATGCCTAAAACTGATTTTGAAATTCAGTGTTTCGAGTTGTCTATGAATAGTTATGGGAATATATATCCATTAAAATCCAATGGTCACGATTTCACTTGTCCTTGATAAACTCGCAATGGAACTAATGTTGCTTCTTGTAATGAGTGTTTCTCTTTAATAGTTTTTAATACGATATGAAAATGATTACGTCCGAAGGGGAAACACATCTCAGCTCACTGTGAATAATAGTCTTAGACTTTATTTGCATTATTCTCCAGGTGCAGATAGGGGGTTTGATAGTGAAGAAACAGTCAATCTTTTATGTCTAAATTTGTGTACGTTTCAGTTTGTACATGTTAACTCACAGATAATTGCCTAACATGCCATCTACTAGTACGTACTAAAACTTGGATGCATTTTCCTTCCAGGGACCCGTTTCAGAAAGCCTTTTTACAATGACAAATAACAAAAAACAGTCACATATCTGCTGATAACCAATCAGAAGCAAGGATTTCAGTAGCTTATAACAAAAACTGTCATTTGTCACTGATGACTAGTTTTGTGAAACGCCCCTCCAGAAGTTTGACGGGAAGGGAAAACTGCCACTCCTGCACCTCCTTTAAATACGCTGGTAAGTACCTGTTATGAAGCTGACAAGTAATCCCAGAACCAGAGTAATCATCCAACTGTAGAAACCGAGCCAGATGTAAGATAACCTGTAGATTCCAAGGGGTTCCGGAGGAGACCTGTGTGTAGACATCAAAGAAAAAAACAAAGAAATACAACAACAACAACAAAACAAATAACAACGGAAAAAATAATGAAACGAAAGCGCGAACATTCGTTTGGTTGGTTAGATTGACATTTTACATAGGTAAAAGCGTTAACGGCAAAATACTTCCAAAAATATAAGTAAAAGTAAAGTTAAAGGTTAAGTAATGTAAATAAAAATAAGTAAAAATAAAATTAGTAAGAAATTAAAAAGCGAAAGTGAAAATAAAAATAAAGTAAAGTAAAGTCAAAGTGAAATTAAAAGTAAAAGTAATTGGCAGAAATGAGAGTAAAAGCAAAATTAAAAGTTCATGAGTTAATTAAAAAAAAACACTTTTCCTTTTCCTTTTTGATTTTTGATTGTGAAGTTAAAAGTAAAAGTAAAAGTAAATGTAAGAGTAAATTTACAGCGACTTATCAAGAAAAGCAGGTCATGAAATAATCAAAATTGGAAGAAGTTGAGCCGTAAGATAATATCTAGTAGTAGATTCAAATGTATAATTTGTTATCTAACACACAGGGTATGCCCCAAGTTCTATGAGCATGACTACATGGACATGTAGAACACTTATACACGAGACTGAGACCATTCTTACATTAGCGGCGCGACTGACAGCATCATCTCAGAGGTCATTTGCATAGATGTCGTCTCCATCATCAAGGTCGTCATGGTGGTGTTTATCGTTGGAGGAGCTGGGCACCCGGAGATATCGAGCGGGAGAAAGCCAGGGTTTCGGGGATAGAGGATGCCATCGACATATGTTCCAACACCAACCCACAGACTCCAGGCGAGAGAGACAAGCACTCCTACAAGAGCGCCCTGGAAATCAAAACAGGAAGAGGTAACAGACGTATAGATAGAAACGGATCAGGAAAGGTACGGAATTCAAGAAAACAGACACAAATGATAGAGAGAGAGAGAGAGAGAGAGAGAGAGAGAGAGAGAAAAGGCCATAAATTGAGGGAGAGGGCGACAGATGGACAGAGACAGATAACAGACATACAGATAGGGTGAGTGAGAAATAGACAGAAAATGTGAATAAGTACAAATATGTTAAGTTGAGACAAAGAGAAGTAAAGAGTGAGAGAGAGAGAGAGAGAGAGAAAGAGAGGGGGTGGCCTTTAAACAACAAATAATATTTAGACACAAACAAGATAACCTGCACCCACCTGCACTCACATAGCCTTCTACCCCATTTTAATCTTCATTATAGCCCCGAATAGAGCCGAGGTATTGTTTGTACATTGTTGCGCCATTGTAATAATTCAGACATGAAACGTCACCTGCCTGCAAGTGATCGTTACTGCGATTGGAAATACATTGCCATTATGCCCCTTCTTGCATTTGGCTGATGACTTTACAAAAAGGGTCACAAAAAACGAAGATTATATTCAAGCAAACTTTACATGCAAAAAAAGACATTTGAAATGCTTGGATACAACGATTTCATCGTGAACTGTTTTTACCAAATCTTATGTGAAATAAAAGAAAGACAGATCAAAAGTATTCATACTTGGTTAGGAAAAGATGTTCAAGGATAAGTTGTAATCGAGTTTAGCTCCGTAACATGACAAAGTCATTAACGAATTACTTGATAAACTAAATGCCAATTCTTACCTTGCTGTTTGCCCATGGGAAGAACATTCCGAGGCTGAACAACCCGAGACCAGGCCCACCAAGCATTCCACCAAGACTTAGCGTCAACTGCGTCAATAAAACAACATTGATCATTGGTGAAACTTCTTCTCTTCTCGGCCTTTTGAAACTGTCATAATCCTTCCTTGATATCAATTGCACTGGAGGCGCCATTTTGATTACGTTATTACCGAAACCAAATGGAAGGAAATAATCCCTTGCGTCAATAACCCAATATTGACGTAATAATGCGTCACCAAATTGAATGTGGTCTGAGCTTATGTTGTAGTTTTTCTTATCATAGCAACATTTCTGATTATTCTTATAAACTGTATGTTACTTCATTCATGATTCATGAGACTGAATGCATGATTATTCTTATAAATATTATATGAATCATTATTATCTTCAATTTATTTGTCTTTCACTAAGATAGCATAATAACTCATTTTGTTATTAAAGCAATAATGCCTATTACAATTTCAAAGTGTACATAATCCCACACCATAAATTTTTCTGTTGATATAAGGGGTTTCATGTGGCTATACTGTATTTGAAATATGAGGTCTAAATATTACTTTTACAAAGGAATATTGAAACTGAAATGATTTTAAGTGAACCAAGAAACATCATTTTGAGCAGACTAGTTAACGCATGCGTACACCCTCACATGGAATATGGCGCGTAAAGAACCAGATTCTGACTATCTTGTATATATACACATTTTTCTTCTTCATGTGATTGGTTCACTTGAGAGTTAATTGGTTGTTCGTTAAGATTAATTTTGTTGAAGTGGATAACTGTAAAATATATTCGGCCCAAAAAACACTAACATATCTATGCCCTTTCATGGCTTACGTTTGGATATATTAACTTACTCAGTGATGTAGCGTAAGTCCATCAAATAAGGGGGCACGGGCACAGGGAGGAGGGGGTTCGTTCTTAACTTAAAGCAGTTAGGTGCCTCCGTTTAGACACGTGTTATCATGTTTTTTAAATATAAATATCTTGAGCTTAAATGCTCTGAATTACCAATTTGCATGAAGTGCAAAAATCACTGGGAAATTTGAGTCCGTTTCTGTTGCAAAAAAACATTGTGCCAGTCACCGCAACCGCTCATGTTTTAATCGAAAATAATCATTGAAATGTACTTAAATTGGCAAAGCAGCGTCTAATTTATAATCCCTTTTTTTGTGTGTAGAAATTGGCAATTTTTTATTGATTTTTAGTAATTTCTCATTCACACTGTTTTATATACCATTCAATTTGTGTAACTGTTAAAAAGTGTACACAACAAATAATTGTTTTTCCCTGACTTTTCTTGTGTTTTCTTCCCTTTCTACTTTTCAATTGTGGGGGGGGGGGGGGGGGGTGGGGGATGGGGGTGGGGGGGGGGGCAAGGCGGCAAGTGCCACACCCGTAGCTTTGATCTTGTTCCTACCTGCAGAACACTTCCCAGATAAGATGCTACATAGGTCAGCAGAATACAAATGGCTCCATATGAAAGCACTGCATGAGGAAGAAGAAAAAAAAAAAGAGAACACGAGAACAAATCTCTGCATGTAACTTGAAGGACATGAATTGAAATAAGTTCTCACTTTGTAATAATTTCTCAATCCTGTCATTTCATTTTCAAAGATTGATCTGCTTTATTTTATCAACATCGGGATATTTTCTCACAAAAGGCCGTCTACTGGGTCTACTGATTATCATTAAAATACGCTTTGTATAAACGATGTGAAAAGAGGTAACGGCAAAAATTGAGGGTGACCATATAGTAATACGTTATCATCAAGAGATGTATTGCAGAGGTTTCATGGATAAGTGGATACGTTGTCGGACGCTGGATCCCATGGTTCGTGGTTCGAGTCCAGCCACGGATCTTATGGCCTTTGGTAAGACATTAGTCTGTATTTTAAACTCCTCCACCCTGGTGAAGTAAATGGATACTGGGTAGGAAGAAATTCCTTGAATGCTTTTGCGATTTATCATGGCGGCTCAGTTACAGCCTGGGTAATAGTAATCTTGAACCAAGCGCATGCAGCAGAGCCAAATTCTACACATACATGAATATGCTAAATCCTCGAAAATGATATAATATTTATATTCATCAAGTATAAAATATGAGATTCCTGCCCAGTATAATAAGGCTACCTCAAACAACCAATTTAATATACAGCCTAATGGACTTTACATTACATTTTATGTTGTTATTCCCCTATTTAGATAATGATAGATAAAATAATAAATTAATTGAAACATTTACTTACATACGATTTTGCTGACTATCGCGTATAGTTTTTCACTCTTGCCCACTCGTGGAAACATTTTGGTCACGAGGTCCTCGGTCGTAACAGCTGTGAGAGCATTGAGACCTGAAGACGCCGTACTGTTTGATTAAAAATGTATTAAACAAATATAAAAACTGATAAATATTTAAACGCCCTCACAGACCTTCTTGACGACAGCCGTGACACAACTTTGTTTGGATCGCTGATTTCCTTTGGCAAGACAATAGGGACTTTTAGATTCGCATAAAGACAATGGGGATTGCTACGATCGACGTCCTTTTAATGCACTGCCTTGAATGGACGTCACACGTATCAGTCCACGCAAATCTAAAAGTCCCTATTAATTTGCATTCGCGACTCACCACTCAGATAAAGTGAAGGGGTACCTGGTATGAAGATTTTCATCGAACGCCAGATCGCCTTATCAGGGTAGCTCGGCTAATAAAAGTACAGCGCTTAAAAAAAAAATCAGTATTGAGCGCTTTATTTTCAAATGGACATGCAACCATCTTTATCGGAAAATACTGTAAGCACACCGTGTAAACCCAGTATTTACATCGTCATAACTCCAGGATTGATCAAAATTAACACCGTATTCACACCTAAACGCAATCACAATATGTATTTCTTTTTGCTAAGCATAGAGTAGGCCTAGGCTTTACTATTAAAAACAAACCCCGACGCCTTATAAATTTTAGTTCTGTTATCTCCCTGACCGAGTATCGGAAAGATGAACTGAAAACATCGAAGTTTTACTAACCTCATGGCTGCGCTGAATATTGACGCAGTGAATAGTCCAGAGAGGCCTGGTGTGTCACCGAAAAGATCCAAAACTATAAAGGGCATCAGCTGGGGAAACAAAATGAGATAAAGCGAAGGAAAACCATGTTTTATGTTGACATATTACTTTGATCTGAAAGAATAAATAAATCAGATTTTCAACTTTTGTAAATTATTAACTACCACATGTTGGTGCACCATTATGTAGGCTGATTCTGTTATTAATTGGCGTAGAATAGCTAAAACTATTAGAACCTCCTCCACATACACACATTCGCACATACGCACACACCCACACCCGTTCCCACAATCAAGTTACTTTTAACGCTGGCTCTGGTATTGAAGTTTCAAGTAACATCTTTACTAATCTAGGCTTATATATATTTACGATTTTTATTCGAAGACCACACCAAACTTACATACATTTGTTTCTGCCACGCTGAGCAGGTTCTTGCGTACTTGCGATCAACTCTGCCATGGCGTGCGCTGAAAGTGTGCATGGCACTCAAATGCCAAGACCTTTGCAGAAAATGTCACTAGCCTTGTTCGTCATCTTTTGAAACGTGTTCACATTAATATTGCAGAAAATGTCACTAGCCTTGTTCGTCATCTTTTGAAACGTGTTCACATTAATATTGCAGAAAATGTCACTAGCCTTGTTCGTCATCTTTTGAAACGTGTTCACATTAATAACATCACATGATATGTTTGCGTCATTCGAAGATACTTTCTACCAACCCTATGTGATATACAATAAGGTAACACAGTTTCCATTGACATGATTTCTGGAAAGTCCTCACGATCGTGCTACTTATTTACTGTTAGTTAACCTCGCATTTATTGTCCGACTGTAAAATCTTCAAAACTTATACATTTCGTTTACCTGGTCGCCACTAGTAACTCTACCCGTACGGAAAGGGTCACATGTAGCGTATCGTGCATAGATCACCATCCCAGCAAGCACGGCAGAAGATAGCACGATGATCATACCAACAATCGCCATTCCAAGTGCTCTGAAAAAAGTAGAAAAGCACAGCGCATGTAAAATACGATTGCATAGAAGACATCTATTAGAAATAATGCAAATTACTCCTTTTAATTTTTGCTGTTTTAGGATTTCGGTTATGGCCTACTTTCATGAATATGTCCACTTGATATATAGCAATTATTGTAGTTTAAAAAATACGGATATATCTCATCTAGCAAGGTAAATGCATGTCTCAGTGAAACACAATTTTTACCAGTTTGTCCCTGGTATGTTTAGAGATTTGACAATATAAGATGTGTCCACAGTACAATGGGTTGAAATGTAAGTTGTACTTCGATCCAAGTGTTATGACCATATTAATGATATACAGATCTTGAAGTTGGGAATTAATATTTACAATCTGGCAGTTTTGACTTTTCCACACGCGAGATATCTCATGACCTGCGCTTGTGATATGCCGTAGATGGCGCCCCAGGTGAATCCACCTCCGATGACAATGCTCCAGAAACTATGGCGGATAGTAGGGTCGGGATCAAATCTGAAAGTCGAATTGAAAAAGATAAGAAAGTAAATGGGCAGTGGTGGCACCATAATGAGAAGAAGGAGGAGGAGGACCCGGAGGAGAATGATGAGGAGAAGGAGGAGGAGGAGGAGGAGGAGGAGCAGAGGGTGGTGGATAATAGGAAGATGATATGGAAGGGGGTAAGAAAGAGGAGGAGAATGATGCAGAAGACGAGAAGAAGGAGGAGGAGGAGAAGGATACGGATGATGAGCATGAGGAGAGTGGGATGAGGAAGAGTAAAATAAGGATGATGATGGGGAAGAGGATAAGGTGACAAGGGGAAAGAGTATATGATGATGAAGAGGACGAGGAGGGGAATAAGGAGGAGGGGAAGGAGGATTATGAGAAGGAGGAGAGGAGGAGGAGAAAGAGGACGAGGATCAGGAAAAGGAAGAGCAAGGGTTAGTGGTGACCGTCAATGCACTGCTAAATAAACCAACAGACCGACAGAGGGCCTTGTGTAACGTTATGAAATAGTTTATTCCGACGGCTAAGGTGACCGGTATGCAGGCCGGGTTTCCTTGGCATTCTAACAAATTTTCTGATGGTTCTCTAGAGTTACTCTTCGGTCTGTTGTTTTAAAGTATTGTCAACAATATCACACTTTAGGATATTTTAGGCAATTTATTCGAAACGTCTGCTGAAGCATCCTGTACAGAGCGTGACCCACGAAGTTGTTCATTTATAGCTGGGTGTAGTAATGGCTTTAGTGATCTGCCCTGCACTTTCTCCAATAACTTACTCCCAGAAATTAATCCTTCCTCCTTTCTGGCAGATGCTCCAGACATTGTCCATACCGCCGCTCTCGTTTGATCCCTGAATGATCACGGCCAGGAGACCACACATCATTACCAACGACTGGAATACATCAGTCCACAGCACAGCATTCATTCCACCCTACGAATAAAAATGATAATAATAGCACCAATAATGATGATAATAATAATACTGATGATAATAATATTATTAAAAAACAATATTGATGAAAATGAGAATAGTAATGATACAACACCGACTACTACTACTCCTAATAATGAAAATAATAATAACAAGAACAACAACAATACTAATCAGAATGACATTTGTAATAATAAGTACAATAATAACATTAATAGATATAATGAATAAATAAATATCTTAATTATTATTAACCGTATCAGACATCTGAGCAGGGCAATTTTTAAATGGTATTGCCCTCAAGGTTTTGATGGATAAGTCAACAAAATTACAATAAGTTAGTCCGCGCAGAAAAGTCAATGGGATTTTGTGTGTAATTTGGCGGGCAATATAGGTTATATAGAAAACCAATGCGCAAATATTTTACCCCGCTCAGAAGAGTCAATGGGATTTGTGTGTAATTTGGCGGGCAATATAGGTTATACAGTAAGTCAATGGACAAATATTTTAGCCCGCTCTGAAAAGTCAATGGCAAAATGCGTGTTAAACTAGTGCGCAATAATGTAGTGCCAGTTGTAATTTACATCGCGCATCAGCTATTGTAATTTACATCGCGCATCGTGTATTAGAAAATGCGCACTTTGCGCGAACTCCATTGTGACGTAACAAACACACCCTAGGCAAACTGTTTGCAGCGTATCGAAAATCTGTCAAACACTGGATGAACAGTGCTGGTTTGACAATGTTTTTGCAACTTCTAATGCTAGGAAACCCTGTGTAGCCTACATAATTTAAGAGTATAAGATAGTAAGAGTTTCTTGTTTGCTCTAGATGTCTGATGTGGTTAATAATAGTAATATTGACTGCCTAATTCAGGGCAATACGACTTGTCATATATCACCCTCACCTTCGGTTCGGGCGATATATGTCGTATTGCCCAGAAGGCAGTCAATATTACTTAAATATTGACTAGCTCAGAGGACGAGACGGAAATGAGGGCAACATAGATGTTTCGAGGGCACTATAGTCCTAAAGTACCCAGAGAGAACAAGTCGGTCATTATTGCTATGATAATGATGATGATGCTAATTATTATTTGTATTATTATTTTGTTTATCACTATAATCGCTATTATTATATTTATCATTATTTTTATTATTTATCTTCATGATTATTATCATTGATAAGTATGAATTGCCATATTGCTTATCATTATCCATTTCTATGATCATACTGCACAAGTTCTCAATTGTCAGGAGAAGGGTGAATATGTTATTTTGCCCTCTGCTACATCAATCATAATTAATGCGGGATCGATAAGCGATGAATACAAATAATTGATAGAGAGAGAGAAAGACCCTAAGAGTAATATCTGACTGCAAGTGTTATCTTGTGCCATAATGGTTAAATTTATTTGTAATTTTAGTGTAACTTTCAAAGTGCTACCAATATCTACAACGATCTGCAACGATGGAGGTACAATTATGTAACGATCAACTGGCATTCCTTAGACTAAAAATTTATTCGTACCGCATTAGGGATATAATTCAGGTAAATCTTATGAGAAATGAACATAAAAAGACAAAGAGGTTGATTAGGCTACTATCTGTAAAATGGAAATCTTCTAGCGTTTGTTAAGTTAAGAACAATATGGGAAACTTTCTCGATCATGTGTGTATCGACTGTTTCATTCACATAATACTATTAGCAGCTCATGGCTAAGTCCAGAATCTGACCGATTTCAATCTTCATAAACACGTAAACCAAAGTGGACCGCTGTCGCAGTACTCATACCCACCTACCAGTCAACAGTCTTTTGAAAAGTGCCCGAGGGCGCTTTTCAAAAGACTATTGACTGGTAGGTGGGGCATGGCCAAAATCACGACTCCAATTTCGACCAATCAGACGGCTAGATTTCTAAAGTGAGGTATATAAATTAATACTTACTATTGTAGTGTAAAACGTACAAACTACTCCGGTGGCAATGGCACATCCCCATAGACTAACACCAGATACTAGAAAAGAAAACAGAATAAATCAACAATTATCACTCGGGGTAAACCTTACGTACTAAAGATGTTAGGACGCGTCAACATTTCGAGCAGTGACATTAAAAACATGTCATAATTGTAATATGTATACATTTACATGTACATACACTGAAACAAACAGGTACATCATGTACACTAAAACTTATTTCCTACCTAATCCCACCATCATTTCTTCATAAATGTTCTTTTCTTCTACACATTATCAGTTTACTCATTCTACACCTGCAATTTATTTTGAACATCACATATTGTCATTTAGATATACGAACATATTGCTCTGTTGGTTTTTGTTAGTGCTTGTTTCCATGTCTGACTCCTTTCTTTTTATAATGATCTCAGTGCATGCCTCTTGTTTCTGAAGGTTGATGATAATAAATGTGTTTTTTATATAGCGCACATGTCCGTCACTCTGTGACGCTCCATGTAACGCTCTCGCATATTCGGTACCCATTTAAACCTGGATTGGGAGTGGCAAATGTAGATTAATATATTGTCAACGTTTGCTGGTGTCGGGCATGGATTTGAACCCTTATGACTTGGATTGAGAGGCAAGTGATGAACACACTAACGACACATCTACGTGAATATTCGATTACCTCATGCATAGCGTAATGAGAGAGATAGTTTTGACATGCATGCACCCGCGTACGCATTCAAGGTTCAATCAATGGAGCGCCGAAATAGTTCCCTCCCAAAGAGAAATTATGTGGGAGGCAACTATTTGGTAGTCCTTGATCCCCTGACAGTACCTGGCTTCTTTATCTCTGTAAATATGCTCTCATTCGGTGTGATTGATCAAATGTATTTGTCAAAAATGAGAAGAAAGCTTAAAGAGCTTGACTCCGCAAACATGAATTCCAACGTCTGAATACAAACACTAAACGATCTCATTATCTAGAGCATGAACCATCGTGAAGGCCATTGTATGACAATGCACATTTAGGTGAAAGATTATTTTTAAAAACTATCATCATGACTATGGTTATTCATACGTGGTTGTTTGGGGTGTCTGCTCAGGCTACATTGTGCACTGGCGTCGACCGGAACGCGTGAATAGGGACTTTTAGATTTGCGTGGACTGATACGTGTGACGTCCATTCAAGGCAGTGCATTACAAGTACGTCGATCGTAACAATCCACGTTGTCGTTCGACAATTCTAAAAGTCCCTATTACATGGGGGTCTGGCCTGGAAACTGTGCTTGTCATGTTTATTTGACCTAAATAAAGCTGTGACTTCACACGCATCTCTTTTTCCTTCATGAATGCACCAGTAATCATTATCTGTGTTAGATTCTACTCGCTCAGTGTAGAGGAATGGAAATTCACTATTTTGAGTCATAATTATTAGAGAACGATTCTCTTGGAGGTGTTTACATCCAATACTACAAGAAGGTACCCCATAAGAATGGTTGAATAAACTTGTCGAGAATGATTGATTCCACTACAAATAAAGCGATCTCCAATATAGCTCTCTTTAAAGGGAGCTTTCTAATCCAATTGGCGACAACTAAATTCCTACACTAACCGAATTCTTGACCTCACCCGTAGACCAAAGACTATACTTCACTATGGCCCTACACCTGTAAACCTAAATCCAGTTGCTAATACCCAACCCTAACTCTTTAACTTGGATGTAATATAGACCTAAGCTACTTCCGCCAGGGCAAAGTCCGTGCCATTTTGTGTTTGTAATCCACGGTGTTTTTAACATTATTCATGTTTCCAATGTTTGATGTTTGAATGTTTTTGAGACCCTCTACCATATTTATGGCTGAGTCATACTGCCCAGCCTATTTAAAACCGACTTTAAAACCGACTTTATGGATCAATTCTGGATATTTTATTTCGTCGGTTTTTCGTCGGTTCGGAATCGGTCTCTTCTGTGGGACTGTGGCATTTTCATCATGATCATGTCTATACCCTACTAAGACCATCAAAGCCGGCACAAGATAAAAATAACAGATACTAAACATTAACGTACGTTATTATGAATGACAAAGAATCGGTCGAATTGAAGTTGATTTGGAATCGTACCTCGATCAGGGCACGGATAAACTGACTCCATGTCGACTGCAAACCGATCGTCAAGTTAGACTGACAAGTGACAAGGCCGACACTAGACCGACACCAGACCGGACAAAGGATTACAGTACCCATGGTGGCAAGGAATCGGTCGGTTTGCAGTAAGATGTACATATATAACTTCTTTATCGGTCTGTAATCGATCTCATCGGTTTGATTTGGGTATACATCTCACTCTCAAAACCAACTTAACCGACTTATCAATCCTTGGCCATTCGGGGTAACGTAAAATTATGTTCCACCTGTAATCGGTCTGGTGTCGGTTTTTCATACCTCAGTCACACGGTCAAACCGATTACACACCGACTCCACAATTACTGACTCCTGGGGGTGTTTCATAAAGCTGTTCGTAAGTTACGCATGACTTTACGAACGACTTGAATATGAAGTGCCAGATAGGATGCCCAAAGTTTTTCCAGATGTTTTAAGTGTGACTATATTTCCAGTAACCTCAATTAAATAATGCCAAAAAATATACTTTGCATTACAAAATGTTTGTTATAATAAGAATGTTAATCTGCATCTGCACAGTTGAACTTTAGTTGATGCAATTGAAAATGATTGAGCATCCCATTTGGCTTTCCATATTCAAGTCGTTCGTAAAGTCATGCGTAACTTACGAACAGCTTTATGAAACATCCCCCCGGTCATTTGTAGTGAGGTAAGTTTTTGCTCGGTTTGTTGTTGGTCCAGTGGTCGGTTACGTCGGTGTGACCTTCGATATAACTGTGTTTAAAGGTCCCTGGATATCGCTATAATGGTTGTGATGAATTAGTATTTACACAACACTGAAATCTTCCAAGCATTTAGATGTTTACCTTGGTTAAGTGCCAGAGCAGGGGCGTAGATCACCACAGCAATGTAGAAAATCTGAGAGGGAGAGAGAGAGAGAACGAAAGGGAGAGAAAGAGAGAGGAAGAGAGAGAAAGAAAGAGAGAGAGAAAGAGAGAGAGAGAGAGAAATAAAAAGGGAGGGAGAGAAAGAGAGAGAAGAGGGAGAAAGAGAGAAAAGAGACAGGAAGAGAAAGAAAAAAAAACAACATCAAATTGTTAATATCAGTGCTATGGTGGCCCTGAAGGGACATCGCGAATAGACTAAATCGTGAAAAATATGCGATAAAATTCACGATATCGTCAATTTTATCGCATATTTTTCACGAAGAAATTCACGAAATTGACGATATCGTGAACTTTATCGTGAACTTTTCACGATGAAATTGACGATATCGTGAATTTTATCGTGAAAAGTTCACGATATAAAGTTCACGATATCGTCAATTTTATCGTGTACTCTATCGTGTACTCTATCGTGTACTCTCCTGACGGGCGCTTCGTAAACAAAACCAGTCCTAGCTGGGGGAGACAGAGAGAAGGAAAAAAGGGAAAGGGAAAGAGAAGATAAAAGGAAAGAAAGAATAATTAGAAGAAAAGAGGGAAACGGGGGGGGGGGGCGAAGGGCTCTTGCCTCCTCCTCACTCCCCCCCCCCCCGCCAAAAAATAAATAAGGAGAGAGAGAAGGGAAAGGGAAAGGGAAAGAAAATATAAAAGGAAAGAAAGAAGAGGAAGAAGGAAAGAGGGAAACGGGGGAAGGGCGAAAGGTTCTTACCTCCCCCCCCCCCCGCCAAAAAAATAAATAAGAGAGAGAGAGAGAGAGAGAAGGGAAAGGGAAAGAAAGAAGAGGAATAAGAGGGAAACAGGGGAAGGGCGAAGGGCTCTTGCCTCCTCCCCCCCCCCCCCCGCCAAAAATAAATCAGAGAGAGAAGGGAAAGGGAAAGAGAAGATAAAAGGAAAGAAATAAGAGGAATAAGAAGGAAAGAGGGAAACGGGGGAAGGGCGAAGGGCTCTTGCCTCCTCCCTCCCCACCCCCCGCCAAAAAAATAAATAAGAGATAGAGAGAGAAGGGAAAGGGAAAGGGAAAGAGAAGATAAAAGGGAAGAAAGAAGAGGAAGAAGAAGAAGAAAAGAGGGAAACGGGGGCGAAGGGCTCTTGCATCCCCCCGCCCAAAAAATAAATAAGAGAGAGAGAGAGAGAGAGAGAAGGGAAAGGGAAAGAGAATAAAAAAGGAAAGGAAGAAGAATAAGAAGAAAAGAGGGGCTCTTGCCTCCTCCCCCCTCCCGCGCCAACAAATAAATAGAAGAGAGAGAGAGAGATAGAGAGAAGGGAAAGGGAAAGGGAAAGAAAATATAAAAGGAAAGAAAGAAGAAGAAGACGGAAAGAGGGAAACGGGGGAAGGGCGAAAGGCTCTTACCTCCCCCTCCCCCTCCCGCCATAAAGGGAAAGAGAAGGGAGAGGGAAAGAAAATATAAAAGGAAAGAAAGAAGAGGAAAAAGAATAAGAAAAGAGGGAAACAGGGGCGAAGGGCTCTTGCCTCCTTTCTTTTCTTTCTTTTCCTTTCTTTCCTATTCTCCCTCTTTTTCGTTTTTCTCTTTCTTTCTTCTCTTTCCCTTGCCTTCTCTCTCTCTCTCTTTTATTTATTTTTTGGCGGGGGCGGGGGGACGAGGCAAAAGCCCTTTGCCCCCGTTTCCCTCTTTTCTTCTTCTTCCTCTTCTTTCTTTCCTTTTATCTTCTCTTTCCCTTTCCCTTTCCCTTCTCTCTCTCTCTCTGATTTATTTTTTGGCGGGGGGGGGGGGAGGGGGGGGGCAAGAGTCCTTCGCCCTTCCCCCGTTTTCCTCTTTTCTTCTTCTTCCTCTTCTTTCTTTCCTTTTATCTTCTCTTTCCCTTTCCCTTTCCCTTCTCTCTCTCTCTCTCTCTGATTTATTTTTTGGCGGGGAGGGGGGGGGGGGGAGTGAGGAGGAGGCAAGAGCCCTTCGCCCCCCCGTTTCCCTCTTTTCTTCTTATTATTCTTTCTTTCCTTTTATCTTCTCTTTCCCTTTCCCTTTTTTCCTTCTCTCCGTCTCCCCCAGCTAGGGCTGGTTTTGTTTACGAAGCGCCCGTCAGGAGAGTACACGATAGAGTACACGATAGAGTACACGATAAAATTGACGATATCGTGAACTTTTCACGATAAAATTCACGATATCGTCAATTTCATCGTGAAAAGTTCACGATAAAGTTCACGATATCGTCAATTTCGTGAATTTCTTCGTGAAAAATATGCGATAAAATTGACGATATCGTGAATTTTATCGCATATTTTTTACGATTTAGTCTATTCGCGATGTCCCTTCAGGGCCACCATACAGTGCCTCTGCCCTGTTTCATAACACTTCTTCCAATAACAAGTGCAAAATATCGTAACAAATTTGCTATCAGCCTATCAAATACAATGATGTCAGTAGCTTATAACGCTAAAAGTAATTTGAATGAACATTCGGAAAACAAGCACCGAACGAGGATTAGGCCTAAAAAAAAAGATGTTGTGTCGCCCTTTAGGTGCAAAAACATGGGTCGGTCGATCGAAAATGTTTTTCCCCCCTCCCTCTTTGGCTGATATTTTAAAATTTTGAATGCTTCAAACATTAAACATTTGTAACGTTTAATTATTATTTTTTGTTGTTTAAAGAGCCGACCGTAGATTTCAAGATTTGTGGGTCGGTCGCAAAGTGCAATAAAATTTCCTTTTTTTAGGCCTTAGTAGTTTTTTTGACAGTCCAACTGTATCTGCACAAGTATAGTCCAAATATGAACACATCAAAGGATTTAGGACTGCGGAATGGAAGGTATGTTACCATACGTAGACATACAATTGGCATGAATTGGCATGAAGTTCATTTAATTACGAGTACGGACGCAATAACTAAATAAAATTTCGCTTTTAAATAGCGCTTACTACATCTACGATGTCTCTAAGCGCTTTACAGATATACTATTACCCCGGTCATTGGATTCAAAACATGCCCGCACACTCCGTGTTGCACGCTCTACACTCCTTGGGGAGCATCACAGCCAGGCGTTTTGGGCCTTATATTGTTTAATAGGGAATGGATGCGCCATTTGTTATGGAGCAAAGTGTGACATATCAAAGAAAAATATATTACTTTTCCAACCAACTAAATGCATTTAGCAGACAAGAGTGATGATAGCTTTTAGACAATAAATTAAATGCCCCAAGCAATTAAACTAATTTTGTGTCCAAATCCTAATTTGGAATAGGCCTCACAATTCAGCAGTCAATAGACTGATTCTTTGAACAGTATTACCGATGTAATGATATAATGGAAATGTTTATTTATGTTAATTCAACATCTTTTAGTATTAAACTGAATGTTATCAATAATTTGTTTTGTGTGTTATTCGAAAGGAAGCACATTATTCATTTTCCATCACTAAAAGAGGGAAATTCCTATTTCAATTAAATGCATATACTGAAATAATAATGTGGCAAACACTGTCATAAATTTATAAATCCCCGAATCCTTTGGGATGCGTTGGTCTTTAATAGAGTAATATAAGGCTTGTTCAGACATGACCCGGCAAAAACCACGACGGTTTCTTTTTACGATGACGGAGATTGACATACACGTCACATGTTTGTGTCTTATAACACAGATGCCAGTAAATATACACATGACCTTTGTTGTGCGTTCATTTGCCATTCATTTACCCGTACAAACCCAAAACAAAACGGCGTTTTTTTATTGCAGAGTTTTACCATGTCATATCTGAGCAATAGTTGAGTTGAGGGCGCTACACAAAACAATTTTGTTGTGAGATAATGAAAAACTAAGTGTCAAACTTGAAAGAACATAATATTTAAATGATAAAATCATCTTTGTTTGATTGAAATCGGTTCAGTGACGGCTGAAATATAACGATTTCTAATTCTTGTGTACCACCACAAGTATTAGATATTTTGAAAAATTTGAAAAAACCGTTGAAAAAAAACGAAATAACGTCTTTTCCGTCGTATTTCAGCCAATGCCGATGTTGTTTTTTGTTGGCATTTTCGTGTTGCTTATACGCACAACCAGTCGGACCATGTATTGTTATTTTAATTAATTAATTAATTAACGGTCACCGTGTTTTTTTAAAAGTAGAGCTGAATTGGTATGCTCGTATTGGCTAAATTTCACACATTTTGGGGTCTAAAATTACTTTCATAGTTATGTTAGGTTCTAAAAAGGCACTTGAAATGTCATAGATAAGAATAAAAGCAATAACCATGCACTTTGAAGGCATTTGCGGTCTGAAAACAGAACTCAACTATCCCTTTAACATGATTAAATCAAAAATCAATGGAAAATTAAAAAGAAAACGTGTTCCTTACCATGGAAAAGAAGGTTATCGTTGTCCCGACCAGTCGGATCGCGCTATTAAATCGAAGTTCAAGATACTGAAATAAAAGGAAAATTATTAATGATTCAATTTCATTATAAAAATTTATAATGCTTGCTCAAAATACTCCTTCCTGTGAACACAAAGCTTAACACAGAGCAGTTATAGTTTAAGTCCCACGATGGTATCTAAATTATTTGTTATGTCATTTATTTGCTTGATATTCCCTTTGATCAGGGAAATCATACACAGCTGTTGAGTATGTTAAATCAGATAAAAGGGACGACCATAATTGTACATCACTATAACATGTCATATAATAGTCCAGGCTACAGAGCAAGGAACCTTGTTATTCTTTTATATATACATTGTTTTTCGTTGGTTTCTTGTCAATTCGAGGTTGCTCGCACCCACACACACACATGCAATCTGTCTCATTTTTTTGTTCTTCTGTATTTAAACAAAAATGGTTATTTCATTCAATATCAAAACAACCCCAAACAATGTTCAAACTACAATTCTTCTCCATCATACTAACATAATTCAGTTTAAACCCAATGCATGTACAATTCAAAGATAACGCACACCCACATATAAACACGTACACATAAACATTTATGAAACCCAGTCTCAGTGGCTTCTCTGTAAAAGTCATCTGGCTATAGAGGTCGTATCTATGGTCTGCCTCTAGAAAGAAAAGGTGTATACAATAGCTAATAACCCATTGCCTACTGGGATATAGACCTGCCTCTATTAAGGCTTCAAGTTACCTTTAATTTTTGTGCAATAATAATAATAATAACAATATTTATCAAGCTCAACATATCCATCTCTAGAGATGCCCAAGGCGCATACAAATAATTTAAATTAATATTCAACCTACTTAAGACTAAATAAATATTAAATGATAACTTGCATTAGATAATACAGCTTCATAGTGCCAAGGTACATACAATCTGGCACAGTGTGCAAAAGCAGATATGTAAAAGCAGAACTTTCAATTAATACAGATCACTGATTACTATGCTGTTGCATTTCGTACCACTTTCATGCCACTGCATTAAGCTAAGCTACAATAAATAATTACAAAGGCCTAGTACACAGTTGACAATTAGAGGCTGTTCACACCGCAATGAGATAGCGCGGTCTATCGTAGCACCCCCTTTTTTCTAGCGCGCGCTAGACCGCGCTATCTCTCGTGGACCACCCCCAAGAGGTGCTCTAGTGGCACGCCGTTTTGGCTCGCCGTGGCTCGCTGTTGGGCGGACCGAAACGACGTTGTACCTTCCAAACCGCAGAGATAGCGCGGTCTAGCGCGTGCTATCTCTGCCGGTGTGAACGGCCTCTAAGTCTCAGTAAAGGTCTTATGAATAAGTTGGAAATAACCATGGCATTCTGTTCATGCCCTTAAAAAGTCTTGAACCAGATGTAAAAACAGAGGAAAAAACCTTAGAAATAGTGATCTTTAGACGATGTTTTTTACTTCAATAATGAACTATACAAACAAATGGAAATTCTGTAGATTTGGGACGTCCCTTGAAAGACCAATGGTGAGAGAAAACCGTGGCTTGAATGGCCTGTCATAGTTAAGTCCAACTCAAAGTCGATCTTAGTCTTTGTGAAACACTCACGGGTTACATATGGGTGATAAAAGATATACAAATGCAATAACGACAACCCAACCCAATTAATCAAATTTATTACAAACATCAGTTAGTTAAATAAAACTTGCCTCTATACGTGCATTCTCTAGTGTAAATATATATTCATTTATAATATATCTTCGAGTCAGGTTAGTTATTTATTCGATGAAAAATGTTAAGCAAATATTTTGCGACATTTCACCTACAAATCTAATTGAGATAATTCACATGGACTCATTTGTCATGCACTGATAAGTATTCAGAATGAAAATCCGACTCGAAGTCTTTAGGTCATAAATCTTTCAAAAAAATATCTGATATGCACTGAATTTGAACTTTGTACATTATACCTCCCCGTTCATGACTGACTTGCGATGAATAAAAATGAAAATGAATATAAATTTGGAAAAACGAATCAACATGTTCAAAACAAAGTATTTTAAGCACAGCCTAACACATTTTCTACTGCAAACAATGCAGAATTTATTCACACCTTTCTCAAATTCTTGTATCGTCAAGACTCTATTGTCGTATCTTATTCCTTTATGTATTTGAATCATATTTTGATATAGGGCTCTTTTGTAAAGCAGGCCTCTGGCACTGAAAAGACTACCCTGTTTTTAAATAAAACTGAATAAATAAATAAATAAATATATCATGTAATTGCTACTTCTGAAGTAATGTGAATTTCGCCTTTAACTTTCTCCATGTGCCTCAAAATGTGTAACAGTTGTATATAACGCTATTTAAAGATCGCTGCAAAAAACATTTTGTATTATGTTCTTTTCATTATGCAAGATATGTAAAACATCATTATACGAAACCGTCGTAAATACAAGTTCACAATTTTGGTTTCTCTCTTGAAACACCAATGATATAGCCCAAATAGACAGAGAGGCTAGAATCTTGAAATCTGACCAGAGAAAGAGAGAGAGAGAGAGAGAGGAAGAGAGGGAGATAAATAGAGAGATATAGAGAAAGGGGGACGGAGAAAAGAGTGAGAGAGAGAGGGAGAGAGAGAGAACCATTGATAAACACGTATTACCCAATGACTTACAAATAGGGTTAATGTATTTGCTTTGGTTGTAAATCTCGATGGTTTGTACTTAGAATTTAGGAGCAATATAATCAGGGGTAATAAATTGCAATATTAACTGATGATAGGTACAAGTTACATTTTGGAGGGGATGAGAGTCGTACTTTTATAGCAGGGTAATGGTGATGTTAATTACTATTAGACTTTGATAACTGGGTTCTATTTTAAGGTGATAGCGATACGTACTTTGGGTAGCATGTGAAGCTTTGGTAACATTTGAAGTGTCTAATTGATAGGACTATATGTAATCAAGGTCAGATGAGCACAATAATGCAAAGTGTTAATAGTAGGTTATCATCATCATCATCACCATCTAAAACATCATTTACTTTTGTTTTTCGTGTTCCTCTTGTTATGCTTGTTCTTTATGTACCTGTTCTGTATCTTGATATTTTACTTACTATTCGTTCTCTACCTATTATAATTAACATCATCATCCTCATCATTATCATCGTCGTCGTCACCATCATCATCATCCTGATCATCGTTGTCACCATCATCATTATCATCATTACAATCATTGTCATCATCATCATCACCATAATCATCATCGTTGTCACCATCATAATAATAATAATAATAAAAATCTCATCCTACAGTTGTTTGGTAAGTCAAATTTTGGGTAGTAGTAGCAATGGTATTAAAACGGTAGGTAATAACGTTTTTCTTAAATAATACGAATTGTATTTACCCAAGGAAGCCCCATTAGCTTTGAAGCTGTTCTTTCTGAGGGCCCTGCAATTATTATTTCCCCATCTTGATACAAGGTACCCATTTACACCTGGGTAGATATTTGCAAATGTGGATTAATGCCTTCCCAAATGACGTTAGTGCCGGGGTAGGATTCGAACCCTCAACCTTCACTGAAGAGTCAAGTGAATGAACCAATAAAACCTATTTTGGGGAGGCGTGTGTGTTATAGGCCTACCTCATTTGCACTTGTTAGTCGTAGTCTCACGAACACGGGCATGGTGAGGCTGGTGATGCACCCGGCCACGATGAAAGCGAAGCCGAACAGCCAATACCTGCTGCCATAGGCATACACCTCAGCAGGGACACCGAGAACCGTGATGGCAGAGACGAAACTCGCGACCAGAGAGAAGGCGACGGGTAGGGGACTAGCTTTCCGATCGGCGAGGAGGTACTCAGTCGCAGTCTGCTGCTTCCCGCCCGAGCAGGCATAGTAGATCCCAATCACGGCTGAAACGAGAAGCATCCCACCTAGGACCAAATAGTCCCATACTCCGAATCGAGTCACCTCATTTTCCATTTCGAGTCGGTCTTTTCCCAGACGTAGGACTAAAAAGTCTCTGAAACTATCACCAACTTCTCTTCGAGATCTAGAAGCAAGTTGTTATTGTTGCAGGAATGTTTAGTAGCGTTCCTTCGTAGGGCTACAGTTTCTATTTGCTTGTTAGTACTTAGGTAAACACTGAAGCAAGAGCTAAACCTTTTAGAGCTTCTGTGATGTCACCCTCCCTGAGGCCTCTCTTGTTAATAACGTATGTGTTTATTGGGCAGACGAGTCCATATTCTGTTTAGGAAGATACAGATATGAATGGAATACACGCTTGATTACTCATGTTCCCTTTGACGAAAATACATATCTCTACCTCAATTGTGGACAGAGACATGGAAGGATGAAGTTCACAGAGAAGTGCAGATTGTTCGTTTCGCACATGAATGCATAAGCCTCTGTCATTGTACTAAAGTGCGCATCATATGAATCGAGACCCCAATCGGACTCTATGCTTATATGGCGTGCATTTAATGCCATGATAAAAAAATCACTGTAATACTAATACTACTACCACTACTGCTACCACTACTACTACCGCTACTACTACTACTACTACTACTACTACTACTACTACTACTACTACTACTACTACTACAACTACTACTGCTTCTACTTCTACTACTATGATACTACTATGTACTCGTACAATACTGCTACTACAATACTAATACTACTGCTACTGCTACTACTGATACTACCACTGTACTACTACTACTCCTATGCTACTGCTGCTACTTCTACTACTACTACTACTACTACTACTACTAGTACTACTATTATACTAATACTACGACCATTACTGATACTACTACTCACAACATTGCTACTACAATTTAGTTTTAGTCCTGTAATACGGAGTATTATTTTCTCTGTTAGTTTTCATATATTTCTATATGATAATTTCATCATTCTCCTGTATATCCAGTTTCTAACTGCTGTTGTTTTCTTCTCCATATCTGTATGTTACATTTGCTACCAAAGTGCTAACAATGTTATAATTTTGGTCACTATACTTTCTATTACGATTCTACACTTTACAGTGCACGCTCTCCGCTATCCCTTGGGGGAACATAACGCCAAATTCCCCCTTTTTATGGGAGCGCACACGGTAGGCCTTATCATTGAATTTCGCATCCAATCGGTAACCATTTAACACCTGGGTGGAAAGTAACAATTTACTAGATACGATATATCTGTAACGATCATACACAGTACCAAAGTGTGACGTCATACTAGCCAAGTTGTCAAGGTTGCTGGTTCTAAACAATCTGTGCTACACTATTGCGTGGTGAGAACACCAGCCTAAATCATTGAATGTGCCCTGCTCTATATACCACGTTACTTGAACGAATCCGCGGTGAACCCCATGTACAGGTCAGGCTCTATTGGGGACATTTAGATATGCACGTCGACAAAGTGGACTGCTACGTGTGACGTCCTTTTATGGCACTGACAATGCCTTAAAAGGATGTCACAGTGCCTTAAAAGGACATCACACGTAGCAGTCCTCTACGTCAACGTGCAAATCTAAAAGTCCCTTTTGTTGAGAACGAGTAACCTAGACAACGAGCGAATATGACGTTAGCTCTTCGGAATTCCAAGGCCTATGGCTAACACTGCGTCGAATACATTAACAACAATTTTTTTTTTTTTTTTTTTTCAGTACGTGTGTATTACTTCCCCAAATGTCGATTAAAAAAAAAAAAATTTAAAACACAACAACAACAAACAACACAAAGTGAAACAACGAATCGACCTATTAATTTTCCTAAGAAAACATAAAATTTCATGGTATCGATTGCGTGCCATATACATGTATGCTTACCATTGAAACCTGACAATCTTCCCTTTGTCAGAGGGCGAGCCCCAGGCTCCTCGCTTGGTATCCTTTTGTCACATTATTTACTGAAAGTATCAGCAGGTTGGTGGATCTCTGGAGAATGAAATAATAGGAGTATATATGCCACAAACAATTTGCAATTTCATGCTCGACGTTGGTGTTGATGTTGTTTTCTTCGGTACAAATCTTGATCTAATCATCGAACCTACAGATTAAAAGAAAAAGTCGAGTACTCTCCATGGAATTATTGTTTTGGTAGAAAATGTCTAGAACCAATTAGGAACATGTATTTGTATTTTCTTGAAGGGGACTGACATATACTGTAGTGTTTTCGAATGATTAGAATGAGAAGATATTGACTTATTTTTGCTGCAAATTACATGCACTACACTCGGTAATGGGTACGTGGGACTACACACGCTTGGGGAATGGAAGCTTTGTCCAAACCTTCCGCCATTTCTCGCAATAAATCAAATATGAGGGCAATTGAAGAGCAAACATTTTCAGAGGTAGTTATTATCATGATAGACTTCCGAACTGATGCGAAAACAACGATAAAGCTCACAAATTATTTGTTATCTTTACGAGAACTCGACCTTCTCCTAATTATTGATAAAATAAGGACAAATAGTTTCGATTTCATTCGGCAGACTTAAGGATGATGAATTCCGTTTAAGGGCTGTTCACATATGGTTTTGTGTACAAAATGTTTGGGTTTTACCGATTTATGCTAATGAGCCGTCAATACCGATTTTCTTAGATCCAATTCATTTGTCTAGATAGACAGATCTAATTATTATCGTTATTGTATTTTGTTGTAAAAAACTTTTATTTGTCTGCGTTGTTTAATTTATAATAAATGTTTTTACTTAAGATGATACTAAACCGATCAGATTTGGCTTGGATATAGAAATGAAAACAGTTCCTTTCTTCGTCTCTCTTACACTCTATTTTCCACTCTCTAACACCCTCTCAATCTTCCCTCAATGAAAATCATTTTCATGACACAGTATGCATTGGGCTGGTCAATGATCTACTGGCACTCTGCTGACCTCGAAGCCAGCATTCCCTGATTGACTGACCACAGGTAAAGGAAAACATAACCAAGACTCCAATATTATTGGGTCTAAACTACTGATTTTTTGAGAAGAGGTCTCAAAACCTTGTAAAAGCGATCTCCTGACATTGTATCTTAAAGCCTATCTGTACTGATTTGGCCAGGAGGGATAAGACTTACCTGCATGGTCACTGCCAGTGGTTATCTCATCAACTCAGCTCTCAATTAACACAAGAAAAAGGGGACCATGTGGTGGACCAATGGTCACCGATTAGGCATATTGGCTATGTAGGGGGCGCAAGTAGCTATAAGTTGTGCAGTGGGGCTTTCAATAGTGTTTTCTCTCAAGGTCAGCAAGGTGCCTGGAGAACATCAACCGGCCCAATGCGTACACAAAGCAGCGACAGTCATGAATTTGACTGTCTCTCAGAGTATGACGTTTAGCACTTCGGTCACTCCGAGGCCTTTAAAGAGAAGGTTGAGTTCTGGGAAGAGGTGAAAAATAATTTGTGAGCATTACTCATTCTTATTATGCAAGTGTGGATGAACATCAGTTAAGACATGTTCCCTGAAAAGCATGGCTTTTCAAATGCCTTCATATTCTAAATATGCATGTAACATCGTAAAAATCGGGGGGGGGGGGGCGGCTTTTTACGCCACGTGTTCGTGTAGTCCCATATACATCTTTCTGTGCAAGTGTTTGTAACTTTACCAAGACTTGGCCAAATTTCTTATCATTTTGATGATTCCAGAACCTTGCAATACACACAAATTCTTATATGCTAGATGATCAACCTTTTCTGGTCGGTTCCACACCGTTTCTTTTACAATGCAATCGCATGACCAGAACTCAACTTCATCTTTAACTAACACTGCGTCCAATCCATCAAAAAATTATTTTTGTTTTGTTTTGTTTTGTCGTGTTTATTAATTCCCCAAAGATCGATCTCTTTGAACATAAATATCAGAACAAAACAAAACAAAACAAACCGTAAAACAACGAATCGACCCATTCATTTTATATTCCTAAGAAAACATCAAATTTCATGGCATCGACTGTGTGTGATATATGCTTACCATGAACCTGACAATCTGCCTATTGTCATATTATGAGCCCCAGGCTCATCGCTTGGTATCCTTTTGTCACATTATTTACTTAACGTATCAGCAGGTAGGGGGTCTCATTAGGATGAAAGTACACGCCACTGTACACTAGAAAAAAGACAGTCTTGTATATTTTGAAATGTGGTCATTTTGTATTTATCCAAAGCATGCTTATTCAGGCATGAATTATAACGGATACCTCTAAATTTCATACAAAAGTTAGATTTGAACCACAGGCCAACAAATTGTGGTTCAGGAATTATGAGGAGTTGCCCATGGAGGATTTGAATTGATGCATACTGACGATTGTCAAGTACTTAATTTATACTGGGGATCTCGCTCAACCAGCTTAGCTTTTCTGAGATTCCCTTTTTCCCCCTCTCATTTAAATAAAGCAATATAATTCATGAACTTAATTATACTCTGAAAACTTTTTTCTGTTTCGTAGAGATTTATCAGCATTCGGTACTTGTATAGTTCATTTGTTCTATTATATTTTTGTTATACTGTATGGCTTATATATGTAATTTAAATTGTTGTACATTTGAGAGGAAAAATAAATAAATAAAATAAAATCAAGCTTAATTTTTTGTTGTGTTTACTTGTTGGCATTCCCTTCTCTCTCGCTCTTGCTCACACAAACACTTATCTGTTCACATTTATTATATTTCCGAAACAAAGTACATCATGCCAATATAAATATGACAATATGGCCATGTCAATACGCCACAAAAGCTTACAAAGGTAAATAGTTTTTGTTTACCATTTTCGGAAGAATACTACCTCACCCGTACCATGAAACAAACCGTTGATTGATTAATGAATTATGAAATTCACGAGCTTCATATTTAACATCATAATATTTTTTCTCTGTGGGCTCTTCTTAACTTCATGTGCTTATCCACAAATCATATTTATGAACAGCCATATTTATGTAGTCAATAGGGGGCGCCAACCATTTAACATTGATCTGGCAGCATTGATTGGTAATTAATACTGAAAAGAAGACAGTAATGATATAATTTAGTCTATAACTTAATATTTTACCTCCCAATAAAGTTTAAAACAGATGGCCATAACAGGGACTACATAAATTGTTTTCCACATAAATAATTTTAGCCTAAATCAACATTTACAATAAGCCTATCATCACCTAGAGTATGACCCCTTTCATAATCGATCCAAGCTGGTTAAAAATGTGGTCTGGCAGAACGGATTTTTCTCTGACTGCAACGTATCTCACATTAGACCTTGGCAATTTGAAACCACGTTCATCGGTTCATGTATGTTCAATTACTTGAACGAAAATTTGATCAATATTAATTAAGTCCTCATTATTATGTGTTGAAATTAAAG